GTTGAGTTAGAGAAGAGAATCCAAGCTGTAAAAGACAAGCAGGGCTGTTTTAATTGTCTAAAAGTAGGGCACAGCTATAAAAGATGCCGTAACGAAATAAAATGCCCTTGGTGCAGCAAAGAACATTGCCTACTGATGTGTCGAGAAACCTGTCGAGCAAGGATGAGACCAAGCAAGCGGATGAGAAGAAACCGAAAGAACCAGCTTTTCACGAGGAAAACAGATGTTCGAATACAAAAATGTTCCTTCCTACATTAAAAGTCAAGATGCGAGGTCCAAAAGACTTGATGAATGTTCGCGCTATCATAGATACTAGCTCGCATAGATCTTATGTTTTGGAAAAGGTAGCTAGAGAGCTTGGATACGAGATTGAAAGCGAACAAACGATGATACACTTGTTGTTTAGAGGAACTAAAACCAAACCTCAGAGACACAAAACTTGTCGGATCTACATCGGCAACTTAGATGGAATATATAAATGCGACTTCGTAGCTTTGCAACAAAACATTATCTGCCAGGACGCCCCTTGTAAGATCGATGATACTTGGATGGATATACTTGAGAAAAAAGACATACGCTTGAGCGACACCTTGACGGTGAACGTCAAGAATTCATTTCACTATTGATTGGAGCTGATGTTACTGGCAAAATATTCACAGGAAAAGTCCTACAGATAAATTAAGAAATAACAGCTTTAGAAACTAAGCTTGGATGAACAATCTTGGGTAGGAACATAGACGATGACAGTGGCACCGATATTACGTTGACGATTATGTCAATGTTCACTCAAGAAGCCAACATATCAGATTTATGGAGATTCGATGTCTTGGGCATCACGGATTGAGAGTGTTACTAAAGAGGCACATCAAGCTGATATAAAGACCTCATTTCAAGAGACAATGAAAATCGACAACGAAGGTCGATACGAAGTTCTTCTGCCGTGGAAAGAGAATCATCCACCTTTACGAGATAATCGAGACGTAGCCGAGGAAAAACTAAAAGGCGTTATAAAGAGATTGTGACGAGAAGATTTATTTGACGACTACCAGGCTGTCTTTGATAATTATTCGAAGAAGCCAGATTATTGAAAAGATACCTGTACTTGAAGTCGACCAAGAGAGCTACTATCTTCCACACAGGCCTGTAGTCAAGAAAGAAGGAACTACAAAGATACGCCCTGTTTTCGATGCGTCAGCAAAAGTCAAGGAATCGCCTTCGCTTAACCAATGCTTGGAGACTGGACTCAATTTTATAGAGTTTATTCCAGCATTGCTACATCGATTTCGAGAGAGGAAGATAGGGGTAACAGTTGATATTACGAAAGCCTTCCTATAAATCAGCATCTCTCCATCGGATAGAGATGTTTTGAGATTCCTGTGGTGGAACGTTGACGGAGAAATAGAGATTTATCGACATCATCGAGTTGTTTTCGGATTGACAAGCAGCTATTTCTTTTAGAGGCGACGATTGAATTGCATATTAATAGAGCCTTAAACTCTACTATTTTGCCATATAAGAAAGCAATTTATGAGAAACTGGTAAAATCCTTTTATGTCGATGGCTGTGTTACTAGTGTCAATTCTTATTCTGATTTTGAAGTTTTCAGGAGAGAAGCCTATTCCCTTTTGATTCAAGCCAGATTTGATTTAAGAGATTGGAAATACACTGGTAAGGATCCTGAGAGTCAATCAATGGTGCTTGGACTTATATGGGACACCAAGAGAGATATTTTAATGTTACCGGAATTTCCTGCACCGACGATCACGGAGAAAATAACGTAAAGAGTCATCTTGTCACAAGTACAGAAAGTTTATGACCCTCTCGGATTCGTCTGTCCCGTACTGTTAAAACCAAAATTACTATTGTAAGATCTGTGGAATAAAAACTGTGGACACAGAAATAAACGGCGACATTAAACATGAATTTCTCAAATGGGTTCAGCAACTAGGTCTCCTACGCATATTGAAGTTTCCACGATGGATTTTTGGAGAGAAGAGAGGTCCCGACTCACTGTCCTTTCATGTTTTTGTCGATGCCAGTAAAGACGCATACGCGACGGCAATCTTCGTACGAGTTGAGTCAAGCACAGGAGTCGAGATACATCTCGTAGAAGCTAAATCTAGAATAGCACCCAAAGAGAAGAAGACCATCCCTCGCCTTGAAGTACTAGCAGCCTCCATTGGAGCTAGGATGATGCGATCTTTCGTAAAAGCTATGGATTATCAAGACCTATTTCTGGAGCGACTCGATGACCATTCTAACATGGATTCGACAAACAAGACAATGGGCAGTCTTTATATGGAATCGTGTTCTGGAAATAAGGAGCCTTACGGATATTGAATCTTGGAGATATGTTCCTGGAGATTTACCCTCACGAGGTTGTGATGCTAAGAAATTCCTTGAACTGAAATGGTGGGAGGGACCGGAGTGGTTGAAACTACCTCCCAAAGAGTGGCCCAAAGAGGAAGGAAAAATTGACGAGAACATAGTTAACTTAGAGTTACGCAAGACTCCCGGACGATGCAAAGAGAGAATATTCCCTGAGACTATTGTTGAAGAAATCGCTAATCTCCGTAGAACAAGCGAGTGACAGAGACAGTCCCCTGGTATTTGCAGAGACTTTCGATGTATTCCAAAATTCTGTGTACTATCGCATGGATATTAAGATTTGTGAATAATTGTCGAAGAATTCAAGTAAACAAAACTCAAGTAAACTTAACTGCCAAAGAAATTACTAAAGCAGAATTGCGTCTTTGTAGACTAGCACAGAAAGAATCATTCCTGGGAAGTAACGATTCACGAAGCTTAAATGTTTTCGAGGAGAATGGACTAATACGCACAAAGACAATGATCTCCAATCGTCAAAATACTTTTGCTTTCAGATGTCCCGTGGTGTTGAACTCAGCTCATTTATTGACGTTGAAGATTATCTTTCATATTCATCTGAAACTTAATCATGCTGGTATTGACATTGTGATGAATAGTTTACGCGAAAAGTTTTGGGTCCTACAATGTCGTCGTACGGTACGCTCAGTTATAAGAAAATGCGTCGTTTGTCGTCGGTATGCATCGAAAACAATGAAAGCACCACCTGGATTGTTACCTGAAGACAGAGTGGCGCAGCGTTTGAAGTGATAGGTATCGATTACGCTGGATCACTCTTTTTGAGCGGTGAACAAAAGGCATACATCTGTTTGTTTACTTGTGCAGTCGACAGTTTACTTAGAGTTGGTTACATCTCTATCAACAGAGGAATTTCTGGAGGCCTTCAGAAGATTCATTGCACGTCAAGGAAGACCTACTGTAGTATATAGCGACAATGGGAAAAATTTTGTAGGGGCCAGGAATCTACTACAGAAGATTAATTGGCGGAAAGTTTCCCAATATTGTGCACTCAATGAGATAACATGGCATTTTAATCCAACTTCAGCTGCCTGGTGGGGAGGATAGTGAGAGCGACTTATCCGCCTCCTTAAAGATCTATTGAAGAGGACATTAAAGAGAACTTCGTTGAGCTACGAAGAAATGAACACAATTTTATGCGATTGTGAATTTTATGCGAGGCTACTATGAATTCAAGACCCCTTATCTACTTGACAGAGGAAAATACTGAAATCACAGCGCTGACTCCAGCGATGTTCATCAGTGACATTCGAGAAAATGACGTTCCAGATTTGTGGATCAAGTTTACAAGTCCCACTTTGCAAAGAGGATACGCTATCGTCAAAGATTGAAAGAAGAGTTCAGAAAACGTTTCCGTATACAGTACTTGGGCAGTATTCCGTATACAGTTATCTAGACGAACTAAACCCAGCAATAGTTCCGCGTTCGTGGCTGTCGGGGACGTCGTGCTTATGAAAACAATTTACAAAAGCGATTAGACTGGCCGCTCGCCGTCATCAGAGAAGTCTATCCCGGAAAAGATGGTTACGTGCGGATGATAAAACTGAAAACGAGTAAAGGTGAACTGGTTCGACCCATTCAAAAACTAATTCCCTTGGAAGTTGAACACTCCAGTCCTGAAACTGATAACTTTATCGAGTCTATCACTACGACGTCAGAGACTACTAAGGAAAATGCAGCTAACACCCTCGAAGAGTCTGTAATTGTCCCTAAAGAGGAATCGAAATCGTTGGAAGAAACGATGGAAGACCCGAAGAGGTCGTATCACCAAGAAACCGGATCGGTTCAAATATTAAAAATGTTTATCATTTTATTTTTGTTTTCATTTTTTTTAGATAGGTTGAGTTGCTCCTACTAAGAAGTCACAACTCAAGGTGGGAGAGATGTTGGAAGCGCGCTCTCAATACCGTTGACATAGAGGGCGAGACGCGTGTTACCGGCCGAGGAGTGAGTTAAAGGAAGGTGCCGGAAGGGCTGCGTGTGAACGGAAGAATACGAGATCGGATCGCGAGCAGAGAGAGTGCGGCCCGTTTCCCGCCAATATTCCCGCCATTATAACTTTTGCCCTTGGTACTGCCATTGTTACTACGAATAATCCGAGCATATGCTCTCGATGTTTTGCAATAAATCATTTAGAATGAAGTAGCAATTTTTCAGTTGCTACTAGGCCGGAGTGAAGTAATTCTTGCTTGTATAAGTATCATCTTTAACTTTTCAAGGATAAAAATGTTAGAAGCTGGATTATAATAATCCTGGATCTCATATGAAATTGTCGTCGTCATGATCATTTTGTTATTTACAGAATAGTTATTTATAGAATTTCCTGAATAGCTTGTAGCTCTAAATAGTGCAAAAAGCAAAACAAAAAACCTAGAATTTCGATACTAGTTTTTATGCTTCAATTTGTAATGGAGTTGCAGGCAAGAAGAGATTTAGTAATAATATTAGCATTAGAGATACGAGAATATTTGGAAGATGTATCATGAACTGACAGCGATATTGATGAAGTATTGGATAATATTGACATGTTTAATAAAAGAAGAAAAATATCCAGAGTACATAATTACGTTGAAATAATAGTGCCAACGTTGACACATCAAGACTTTAAGGCTCATTTTAGGTATATTTATATAAATAATATCTTTCAAAAAATATTTGTGTTAAAATTATTATGGTTAAAAAATAATTCACTTGATTAGAAAATGTAATATCTAACTATAATAAAAAGTGATTAATATATCATTTAGAATGCTTCCTGAAACATTCGAGTATATATTTTATCTATTATATAACGTTGAGCTCAATCAGTGTGTCTGTCTATATCTTTTCTATAAGTTTATCCAGTCTGTATAACAGTTTTGTTCCTATTTCCATCTTTTCTTTATATCTTTTCTCTTTACTTTCTACAGCTTTTCGTTTTCCTTCTAATATTTCGATAGCATAGTTATCTTTACGTTTATCTAAGAGTAGAAATATTTTTTGTATCTCAGTGTCTAATTTAACTAGTAATGACTAACAGTTATTTACGAGAAATTATATTGGATGAACAAGTAGAACTGCATCTGCTATTGCTTGGAGATATTGATCTTTCCTTTAATGTTACACTTCCAGTTGGCGAAATAGTGCCAATGGTGCCATATAATTTCTCTCTATAAGAAGGTTCTCCATAATCTAAGCAATTAATATTGTATACATAATACTAATTGTGAAAGTGTAAGAGGGAAAAAGTTATATAATGTTATGTAACTAAAGTAGTACTTACTTCATAATATTTCCATGTGCGTATGTTATTACCGGATTTTGCGTTATGATTTTTAATTGTTTTATATGTACGTTTCATTATATTTATTCATCATGCATTGTCTATCAGAGACATTATATTCCTTGGTATACATGGTTGCCGCAATTTCATTCCATGCTTTCTTATAACTGATTTTACCTGAAGACATGGAAGGTTCTCGTTGTTTATATTCCTTAAATAAGAGCATTATTGCCTCATGAGACCATCTGAAATCTGTAATATAAATCATTACGACATAGAGTACATATAAGAAAAAAAGATAACGTATTCATAACAAATATGATTTAAATTTATATTAAAATTTCCTTACTTTCTTTATTTTCTATCGATTCCTTTTCCATTTCCTCTTCTGTTTGTCTTTCTTGAGAAAACATATTATCTATAGAACATTCATATTATCTATAAAAGCAACATAATGAAGCAATATGCTCTACATTACTCTGCAATGTCAAAGAAAAGCTAAATTAGATTAATTACGTACTAAATGTTTCCTCTGACGGAGTGTTATTTGAGATAGTGGTCTGCATAAGCCCAGAAGCTCCTTAAAAAATATTTTTTAATATAAATAATATAATTTGCATAAATTGTTTCGTTCATGCATCAAATAATTGGTACAAATTATATTATTATCATAAGTAATAATTGTTTACAAAATTTTTACCAAAGCATGCATTATTTCGATAATTGCCTTGACGTGCAACATTCAAAAAAGTTGTTGCAAAATACAAATCTGCATGTAAAGTAAGAAAAATATTAAAGTAAACAAATTCATATCTTCTTAATTCTGTAATTTCTGATAAATTTTGTATTGTGATACATATTGGGTGCTGTTCAGCAAAAGTTATTGATACACAGTAAATTATTTCATCCTTGTTAACATTGGCAACAAGGATTCACTGTATTATACTGTGTCATCTATATCTCTTCTTGGAAAGCATTTTTTATTTGCAGAAAAATATTCGTATCGCGTGCATTAAAATTTACAGATTCATAGAAAATGAAGAGTTCATTCTACAAAAAAAAGTTAGCATTTTAATTAAATTAATATTATGATAAAAGTCATTCAGAATTAGTTATATTAATATATATATTATAAATAAATAAGAAATGACTTAAATGTTATAGAATTAAACAACATCTTGGAAATTCTGATTTGTACAGCACAGAACAAAAACTGAGCAAAATCACAATCACAAAATTAAATGACTATAATCTACTGGTTAGATAGAAGGAACGTACAGTTCCTGTTTTGTAAGTATTATTCGGTGAGAGTCGCAGTTTATAATTTTCATTTGTTTCTACATCTCGAATCTCTATTTTTTCATAATTAGCTATTATGAGTACAATGTCGAATTGTAAAACTGTTTCACAATTTTCGCGCGACTTGATATACTACGATCTGCACGGATGGGTGATGTATCAACCTTTGCCATATGCCGAATTTCGATGGGTCGAAGACGCTGCGAACTTGACGTGAGCGCGATCGTTCCGGATTCATCTACCGGTTATATTCTCGAGATCGATCTCGAGTATCCGCAGCATCTACACGACCGACACATACACTGATCTACCTTTCTGCCCAACGCGCGATAAACTACCCGGCAAGCGCGAAGATAAACTTCTAGCGACATTGTACGATAAGCAGTGTTACGTGAACAACGCAGTATTCGGTAAGACCATGGAAAATGTGCGCAACCACGTCGATGTAAAATTAATAACAAAATTGGACGGACGATACGGCACGGAGGCAATGAGCGCGAAACCGAATTTTCACAGTCGCAGCGTCTTTGCGGAAAATTTGATCGCCGTCGAAATGCACAAACTCGAGGTGAAGTTCAACAAGTCGATTTACTAGTGAGTATATGCATACTCGACATATCGAAATTCTGCTTGTATGAATTTCACCTCGTGTACATGTCACTGAAATATCGCGACAAATGTAAGATCGTGTATACCGACACGGACAGTCTCATTTACTATATAGAATGCGACGATGTTTACGAGACTATAAAACGCGATTTCGCTAGATTCGACACGAGTAATTATCCGGCAGATAATGTGTATCTCTGGTATGCCTCTCGCGAACAAAGAAATATTCGGCCTGATGAAGTACGAGAACAATGGTGTATTAATGACCGATTTTGTTGAATTCAGAGCGAAGATGTATGCAGAGAGTGAACGAAAAGAAGGATACTAAAAAGATGAAAGATGTAAAGAGTAACGTCATAGCGCGAACGATAACGCTCGATGATTACACGCGGTATTTGAACGAAGAGATTGAAATTACTCGTCGACAATCGGGTATACGATCTAAATTACACAAAGTATACACGATATCCGAATCGAAAATCGTTCTGAGTCCATACGTCGTACCGAACTGGACGGAGACATTACCGTGGGGGCATTGGCGGATACCTTTGTAATATATATATATTATATGTATTATACGTAGTATATATTGCTATTATGTATTACTATTGTAATTTACACTTTTTTACATTTATACAAGTATTATTAATATATTTTATTAGGTATACAACTTTGCTTCCGCCGTTTTCCTATAGATGGCTTTAGCGGTAAGTGGTGGTCGAAATAAATAGATCATAGACGTACATACAATAAACTTGGGTATCTGTCAACATAAGAAACCACCCCATAGAAACATTAGTCGATTTGTGCATCATAAAATTATTCTCAATTGAAAATGTCAATTTACGCCAAATTCTCATTATTTGCGGGAGGTTTTAATTTTCTGCTTCAATATGAAGAAATCTGCGGCTGAGGCTCATCGAATGCTGTCAAATACTTATGGTGAAGCCGCTATTAGTGAAAGAACGTGTCGTGAGTGGTTTCAACACTTCAAGAACGGTGATTTTGACGTCGAAGACCGGCATAGCGGTGTAAGAGAGGTTTTCGAAGATGCAGAATTGGAGGCATTACTTGATCAAGACTCGTGTCAAAATTAAGAAGAATTGACACGATCATTGGGAGTGACTCAACAAGCCATTTCAAAACGCCTCAAAGTCATGGGAATGATTCAGAAGCAAGGAAATTGGGTGCTGTACGAGTTGAAGACGAGAGATGTTGAACGGCGTTTGTTTGCTTGTGAACAGCTGCTTGAAAGGCAAAGACGGAAGGAATTTCTGCATCGCATTGTGACTAGAGACGAAAAATGGGTTCATTACGATAATCCCAAGTGCAGAAAATCATGGGGAGTTCCCGGCCATGCTTCCACGTCGACGGCCAAACCGAATATTCACGGCTCCAAGGTCATGCTCTGTATTTGGTGGGACCAGCTCGGCGTAGTATATTATGAGCTGTTAAAACCAACTGAAACAATCACAGGCGATCAGTATCGAACGCAATTGATGCGTTTGAG